CAGAAATCATCATTAACAGTCAAAACAAGATCTGTCACCTCAGCATGCCAACCATTCAGTCACAAATCATCATTAACAGTCAAAACAAGATCTGTCACCTCAGCATGCCAACCATTCAGTCACAAATCATCATTAACAGTCAAAACAAGATCTGTCACCTCAGCATGCCAACCATTCAGTCACAAATCATCATTAACAGTCAAAACAAGATCTGTCACCTCAGAATGCCAACCATTCAGTCACAAATCATCATTAACAGTCAAAACAAGATCTGTCACCTCAGCATGCCAACCATTCAGTCACAAATCATCATTAACAGTCAAAACAAGATCTGTCACCTCAGAATGCCAACCATTCAGTCACAAATCATCATTAACAGTCAAAACAAGATCTGTCACCTCAGAATGCCAACCATTCAGTCACAAATCATCATTAACAGTCAAAACAAGATCTGTCACCTCAGAATGCCAACCATTCAGTCACAAATCATCATTAACAGTCAAAACAAGATCTGTCACCTCAGAATGCCAACCATTCAGTCACAAATCATCATTAACAGTCAAAACAAGATCTGTCACCTCAGAATGCCAACCATTCAGTCACAAATCATCATTAACAGTCAAAACAAGATCTGTCACCCTCAGTATGCCAACCATTCAGTCACAAATCATCATTAACAGTCAAAACAAGATCTGTCACCTCAGTATGCCAACCATTCAGTCAGAAATCATCATTAACAGTCAAAACAAGATCTGTCACCTCAGCATGCCAACCATTCAGTCACAAATCATCATTAACAGTCAAAACAAGATCTGTCACCTCAGAATGCCAACCATTCAGTCACAAATCATCATTAACAGTCAAAACAAGATCTGTCACCTCAGAATGCCAACCATTCAGTCACAAATCATCATTAACAGTCAAAACAAGATCTGTCACCTCAGAATGCCAACCATTCAGTCACAAATCATCATTAACAGTCAAAACAAGATCTGTCACCTCAGAATGCCAACCATTCAGTCACAAATCATCATTAACAGTCAAAACAAGATCTGTCACCTCAGAATGCCAACCATTCAGTCACAAATCATCATTAACAGTCAAAACAAGATCTGTCACCTCAGTATGCCAACCATTCAGTCACAAATCATCATTAACAGTCAAAACAAGATCTGTCACCTCAGAATGCCAACCATTCAGTCACAAATCATCATTAACAGTCAAAACAAGATCTGTCACCTCAGTATGCCAACCATTCAGTCAGAAATCATCATTAACAGTCAAAACAAGATCTGTCACCTCAGCATGCCAACCATTCAGTCACAAATCATCATTAACAGTCAAAACAAGATCTGTCACCTCAGCATGCCAACCATTCAGTCACAAATCATCATTAACAGTCAAAACAAGATCTGTCACCTCAGCATGCCAACCATTCAGTCACAAATCATCATTAACAGTCAAAACAAGATCTGTCACCTCAGAATGCCAACCATTCAGTCACAAATCATCATTAACAGTCAAAACAAGATCTGTCACCTCAGCATGCCAACCATTCAGTCACAAATCATCATTAACAGTCAAAACAAGATCTGTCACCTCAGCATGCCAACCATTCAGTCACAAATCATCATTAACAGTCAAAACAAGATCTGTCACCTCAGCATGCCAACCATTCAGTCACAAATCATCATTAACAGTCAAAACAAGATGTGTAACCTCAGTATGCCAACCATTCAGTCACAAATCATCATTAGCAGTCAAAACAAGATCTGTCACCTCAGAATGCCAACCATTCAGTCAGAAATCATCATTAACAGTCAAAACAAGATCTGTCACCTCAGCATGCCAACCATTCAGTCAGAAATCATCATTAACAGTCAAAACAAGATCTGTCACCTCAGAATGCCAACCATTCAGTCACAAATCATCATTAACAGTCAAAACAAGATCTGTCACCTCAGTATGCCAACCATTCAGTCACAAATCATCATTAACAGTCAAAACAAGATCTGTCACCTCAGCATGCCAACCATTCAGTCACAAATCATCATTAACAGTCAAAACAAGATCTGTCACCTCAGAATGCCAACCATTCAGTCACAAATCATCATTAACGGTCAAAACAAGATCTGTCACCTCAGCATGCCAACCATTCAGTCACAAATCATCATTAACAGTCAAAACAAGATCTGTCACCTCAGCATGCCAACCATTCAGTCACAAATCATCATTAACAGTCAAAACAAGATCTGTCACCTCAGTATGCCAACCATTCAGTCACAAATCATCATTAACAGTCAAAACAAGATCTGTAACCTCAGTATGCCAACCATTCAGTCACAAATCATCATTAGCAGTCAAAACAAGATCTGTCACCTCAGAATGCCAACCATTCAGTCACAAATCATCATTAACAGTCAAAACAAGATCTGTCACCTCAGAATGCCAACCATTCAGTCACAAATCATCATTAACAGTCAAAACAAGATCTGTCACCTCAGAATGCCAACCATTCAGTCACAAATCATCATTAACAGTCAAAACAAGATCTGTCACCTCAGTATGCCAACCATTCAGTCACAAATCATCATTAACAGTCAAAACAAGATCTGTCACCTCAGCATGCCAACCATTCAGTCAGAAAATCAATCATCATTAACAGTCAAACAAGATCTGTCACCTCAGCATGCCCAACCATTCAGTCAGAAATCATCATTAACAGTCAAAACAAGATCTGTCACCTCAGCATGCCAGCCATTCAGTCAGAAATCATCATTAACAGTCAAAACAAGATCTGTCACCTCAGAATGCCAACCATTCAGTCACAAATCATCATTAACAGTCAAAACAAGATCTGTCACCTCAGCATGCCAACCATTCAGTCACAAATCATCATTAACAGTCAAAACAAGATCTGTCACCTCAGCATGCCAACCATTCAGTCACAAATCATCATTAACAGTCAAAACAAGATGTGTAACCTCAGTATGCCAACCATTCAGTCACAAATCATCATTAGCAGTCAAAACAAGATCTGTCACCTCAGAATGCCAACCATTCAGTCAGAAATCATCATTTACAGTCAAAACAAGATCTGTCACCTCAGCATGCCAACCATTCAGTCAGAAATCATCATTAACAGTCAAAACAAGATCTGTCACCTCAGAATGCCAACCATTCAGTCACAAATCATCATTAACAGTCAAAACAAGATCTGTCACCTCAGTATGCCAACCATTCAGTCACAAATCATCATTAACAGTCAAAACAAGATCTGTCACCTCAGCATGCCAACCATTCAGTCACAAATCATCATTAACAGTCAAAACAAGATCTGTCCTCAGAATGCCAACCATTCAGTCACAAATCATCATTAGCGGTCAAAACAAGATCTGTCACCTCAGCATGCCAACCATTCAGTCACAAATCATCATTTACAGTCAAAACAAGATCTGTCACCTCAGCATGCCAACCATTCAGTCACAAATCATCATTAACAGTCAAAACAAGATCTGTCACCTCAGCATGCCAACCATTCAGTCAGAAATCATCATTAACAGTCAAAACAAGATCTGTCACCTCAGAATGCCAGCCATTCAGTCACAAATCATCATTAACAGTCAAAACAAGATCTGTCACCTCAGAATGCCAGCCATTCAGTCACAAATCATCATTTACAGTCAAAACAAGATCTGTCACCTCAGCATGCCAACCATTCAGTGAGAAATCATCATTAACAGTCAAAACAAGATCTGTCACCTCAGCATGCCAACCATTCAGTCACAAATCATCATTAACAGTCAAAACAAGATCTGTCACCTCAGAATGCCAACCATTCAGTCAGAAATCATCATTAACAGTCAAAACAAGATCTGTCACCTCAGAATGCCAACCATTCAGTCAGAAATCATCATTAACAGTCAAAACAAGATCTGTCACCTCAGCATGCCAACCATTCAGTCAGAAATCATCATTAACAGTCAAAACAAGATCTGTCACCTCAGCATGCCAACCATTCAGTCAGAAATCATCATTAACAGTCAAAACAAGATCTGTCACCTCAGAATGCCAACCATTCAGTCACAAATCATCATTAACAGTCAAAACAAGATCTGTCACCTCAGTATGCCAACCATTCAGTCACAAATCATCATTAACAGTCAAAACAAGATCTGTCACCTCAGCATGCCAACCATTCAGTCACAAATCATCATTAACAGTCAAAACAAGATCTGTCACCTCAGTATGCCAACCATTCAGTCAGAAATCATCATTAACAGTCAAAACAAGATCTGTCACCTCAGCATGCCAACCATTCAGTCACAAATCATCATTAACAGTCAAAACAAGATCTGTCACCTCAGAATGCCAACCATTCAGTCACAAATCATCATTAACAGTCAAAACAAGATCTGTCACCTCAGCATGCCAACCATTCAGTGAGAAATCATCATTAACAGTCAAAACAAGATCTGTCACCTCAGCATGCCAGCCATTCAGTCAGAAATCATCATTAACAGTCAAAACAAGATCTGTCACCTCAGAATGCCAGCCATTCAGTCACAAATCATCATTAACAGTCAAAACAAGACCTGTCACCTCAGCATGCCAGCCATTCAGTCACAAATCATCATTAACAGTCAAAACAAGATCTGTCACCTCAGCATGCCAACCATTCAGTCACAAATCATCATTAACAGTCAAAACAAGATCTGTCACCTCAGTATGCCAACCATTCAGTCAGAAATCATTACAAAATAGTTAAGCAACATAATAAATCACTGCTTTACCATAGAAGTACAATTCAAGTGAGCATTCTTTATTGTTTGAATAAATTTATGTCTATAATGAGGTCTGATGGGATAGGAGCATATTGCCCAATTGTTGACACTTCAAGAACAATGAAATCGTGAAATTTACCTTTGTAAAGTAACATTTGGTTCTTCAGTGTCTAAGATGTAAGACACTGCTAAATGACAAGTTACAAGTTTACTTACATCACACAGTGGTTTACAGGTGACAACATTGTATGTTGCTGGGTCCCTCTCAACAAAACATGTTTCTGTGAGACACAAGGTACGCCTGACTGAGTCCATGTGGCGAGGAGATAGCTTTTGCACAGTAAATTCTGTGTATGATGTGAGAGCTTCATCAGTGCTACAAGAAAAGCAGAATATCACCAATCATGCCATGGATGGGCCACGGTCCAACAATCACCTAGAGGGCACACCACTCCTGACATACAAGCTGATTTCCCATGCTCAAACCTGTACCAGTTTCTGCATTTCATTCAAAATATGCAGAATACAAGTAAGTAAGTGAATCAAATGCGGGTCTTTGGCGTGATGAGCGAACGCTTTAACCACTAGGCTACCCCACCGCCCCTCCGTCCCCGAAGATCATCTTTCTTTTGACAGAAAGCTGTCTGGGTTATAACACTATATTAGCACCCCAGGGAGAAGAGACAGAGAATGTCTACAGCTGGCGGTCACATGATCAACCACAGACAGGCCACATGCTCTGTATGCACTTCCTGAGATGCCCTAAATCAGTAACTGGAGTTGGGGTGTGTTCGGGCAAGCTGTTCAGTGAGGCTGAAAACTTCATTCCAGATCATTTCCACTCCAATATCGAAAGGAGAAAAAGTGCATATAATGTAAGACAGGATAAGTTTAAAAAGTATGTAAATTATAGTGTATTGACACTAAGACTTTACTCTTAACTGTATAAGATAGACAACTCTGTAAGCCTTGTTACCACTGTGACAGAAGTTACCAACCAGAGTGGCGTCCCTTGGGGAACCCCATGCATGTAACCCCTTGGGAATATACATGTCTGTGGTCACGTCCACATACGTTGTTCTGTCATCCACTATGGTCGATTATGGTGAAGACACGACATACACTGACATAATTTTTGCAAATAGCAGAAACAAACTTTGCGTTGCATCTCTCCTTCAGACAAAGAAGTTGACCAATACTTTTCAAGTTAATGGTTCAACAAATGTCCCTAAACTAAAATTTGTAAATTACTGTAATTCTTGAAATAAATAAATATCATAATGAAACTTTGCACTGCACCTCTGCTATAGATATGGAAGATGATTCCTAAATTTGAAAACAATCCAAACAACAGCTTTCTTTGTTAAACAAAAATGTCTTTGGATGGACTGATGGAATTCCTTGGCATTACTATATACCAAGACCTTTCTAGGTTGGAGGTTAATATAATGCATAGCGTCTAATACCGTTGAAAAGTGTTATCTGCAAGCCATGTGGTAACAATTAATCACTTGTTGACTAGCCCCTATTTACCCTGTTACATATAATACAGGCCATTTCACAAACAAAATAATGGACAACATTGACCTATAATTTGACCAAAACCTCTTCAAACCAGTGCCCCATCCTCAAGAAGATATGCTCAGTGATACATATATTAATACTTTGTGTGAATGTGTAACCAGAAATATTCCCTTCTTTTTGGCCTTGAACTTCTCACTCATTTGCCCAGAGAATTCATATGAGGCTAATTAAGGGAAGTCCATGTATTCTCTTCATGTCAGAAATATTGTGTTGTATTCGTAAGAAATATAACAAGCAGCTCCAGATAAAGTCCAACAAAAACTGAAAGCTGTCCTATTTCAAAGGGCTGTTGAATATTTACTCCAGAACAAAATTTAAAAAAGCATACAGGTCTCATTTTCTGAACTAATTAAATAACTTAGTACTATACTGAACATGCCTTAATAATCAGAACAGTTGTGAACTTAAGAGAGAAAAAGTCATTTGTGTTTGATCCTAGGATCTACTGCTAAGTGATCTTCTCATCAATGTGTATCAATCCATCGGAAGTTGTATGTATGTGTGGTGTGTAATGTTACAGCTACAAGAGGACTGTACAACAGTATGTGTGGTGTGTAATGTTACAGCTACAAGAGGACTGTACAACAGTATGTGTGGTGTGTAATGTTACAGCTACAAGAGGACTGTACAACAGTATGTGTGGTGTGTAATGTTACAGCTACAAGAGGACTGTACAACAGTATGTGTGGTGTGTAATGTTACAGCTACAAGAGGACAGTACAACAGTATGTGTGGTGTTTAATGTTACAGCTACAAGAGGACTGTACAACAGTATGTGAGGTGTGTAATGTTACAGCTACAAGAGGACTGTACAACAGTGTGTGGTGTGTAATGTTACAGCTACAAGAGGACTGTACAGCAGTATGTGTGGTGTGTAATGTTACAGGTACAACAGTATGTGTGGTGTGTAATGTTACAGCTACAAGAGGACTGTACAAAAGTATGTGTGGTGTTTAACATTACAGCTACAAGAGGACTGTACAACAGTGTGTGTGGTGTGTAATGTTACAGCTACAAGAGGACTGTACAACAGTGTGTGTGGTGTGTAATGTTACAGCTACAAGAGGACTGTACAACAGTATGTGTGGTGTTTAATGTTACAGCTACAAGAGGACTGTTCAACAGTATGTGTGGTGTGTAACATTACAGCTACAAGAGGACTGTACAACAGTATGTGTGGTGTGTAATGTTACAGCTACAAGAGGACAGTACAACAGTGTGTGTGGTGTGTAATGTTACAGCTACAAGAGGACAGTACAACAGTATGTGTGGTGTGTAATGATACAGGTACAAGAGGACTGTACAGCAGTATGTGTGGTGTGTAATGTTACAGCTACAAGAGGACTGTACAACAGTATGTGTGGTGTGTAATGTTACAGCTACAAGAGGACTGTACAACAGGATGTGTGGTGTGTAATGATACAGGTACAAGAGGACAGAACAACAGTGTGTGTGGTGTGTAACATTACAGCTACAAGAGGACTGTACAACAGTATGTGTGGTGTGTAATGTTACAGCTACAAGAGGACTGTACAACAGTATGTGTGGTGTGTAATGATACAGGTACAAGAGGACAGTACAACAGTATGTGTGGTGTGTAATGCTACAGCTACAAGAGGACAGTACAACAGTGTGTGTGGTGTGTAATGTTACAGCTACAAGAGGACTGTACAACAGTATGTGTGGTGTTTAATGTTACAGCTACAAGAGGACAGTAGAACAGTATGTGTGGTGTGTAACGTTACAGCTACAAGAGGACTGTACAACAGTATGTGTGGTGTGTAATGTTACAGCTACAAGAGGACTGTACAACAGTGTGTGTGGTGTGTAATGTTACAGCTACAAGAGGACTGTACAGCAGTATGTGTGGTGTTTAATGTTACAGCTACAAGAGGACTGTACAACAGTATGTGTGGTGTGTAATGTTACAGCTACAAGAGGACTGTACAACAGTATGTGTGGTGTGTAATGATACAGGTACAAGAGGACAGAACAACAGTTTGTGTGGTGTGTAATGTTACAGCTACAAGAGGACTGTACAACAATATGTGTGGTGTGTAATGTTACAGCTACAAGAGGACTGTACAACAGTATGTGTGGTGTGTAATGTTACAGCTACAAGAGGACTGTACAACAGTATGTGTGGTGTGTAATGATACAGCTACAAGAGGACTGTACAGCAGTATGTGTGGTGTGTAATGTTACAGCTACAAGAGGACTGTACAACAGTATGTGTGGTGTGTAATGTTACAGCTACAAGAGGACTGTACAACAGTATGTGTGGTGTGTAATGTTACAGCTACAAGAGGACTGTACAACAGTATGTGTGGTGTGTAATGATACAGGTACAAGAGGACAGAACAACAGTGTGTGTGGTGTGTAACATTACAGCTACAAGAGGACTGTACAACAGTATGTGTGGTGTGTAATGTTACAGCTACAAGAGGACTGTACAACAGTATGTGTGGTGTGTAATGATACAGGTACAAGAGGACAGAACAACAGTGTGTGTGGTGTGTAATGTTACAGGTACAAGAGGACTGTACAACAGTGTGTGTGGTGTGTAATGTTACAGCTACAAGAGGACTGTACAACAGTATGTGTGGTGTGTAACATTACAGCTACAAGAGGACTGTACAACAGTGTGTGTGGTGTGTAATGTTACAGCTACAAGAGGACTGTACAACAGTGTGTGTGGTGTGTAATGTTACAGCTACAAGAGGACTGTACAACAGTGTGTGTGGTGTGTAATGTTACAGCTACAAGAGGACTGTACAACAGTGTGTGTGGAGTGCAATGTAACAGATAAAGAGGACTGTACAACAGTATGTGTGGTGTTTAATGTTACAGCTACAAGAGGACTGTACAACAGTGTGTGTGGTGTGTAATGTTACAGCTACAAGAGGACTGTACAACAGTGTGTGTGGTGTGTAATGTAACAGATAAAGAGGACTGTACAACAGTATGTGTGGTGTTTAATGTTACAGCTACAAGAGGACTGTTCAACAGTATGTGTGGTGTGTAACATTACAGCTACAAGAGGACTGTACAACAGTATGTGTGGTGTGTAATGTTACAGCTACAAGAGGACAGTACAACAGTGTGTGTGGTGTGTAATGTTACAGCTACAAGAGGACTGTACAACAGTATGTGTGGTGTTTAATGTTACAGCTACAAGAGGACTGTTCAACAGTATGTGTGGTGTGTAACATTACAGCTACAAGAGGACTGTACAACAGTATGTGTGGTGTGTAATGTTACAGCTACAAGAGGACAGTACAACAGTGTGTGTGGTGTGTAATGTTACAGCTACAAGAGGACTGTACAACAGTATGTGTGGTGTGTAATGTTACAGCTACAAGAGGACAGTACAACAGTGTGTGTGGTGTGTAATGTTACAGCTACAAGAGGACTGTACAGCAGTATGTGTGGTGTTTAATGTTACAGCTACAAGAGGACTGTACAACAGTATGTGTGGTGTGTAATGATACAGCTACAAGAGGACAGTACAACAGTATGTGTGGTGTGTAATGTTACAGCTACAAGAGGACTGTACAGCAGTATGTGTGGTGTGTAATGTTACAGCTACAAGAGGACAGTACAGCAGTATGTGTGGTGTGTAATGTTACAGCTACAAGAGGACTGTACAGCAGTATGTGTGGTGTTTAATGTTACAGCTACAAGAGGACTGTACAACAGTATGTGTGGTGTGTAACATTACAGCTACAAGAGGACTGTACAATAGTATTTTGGGTGTGTAATGATACAGGTACAAGAGGACAGAACAACAGTGTGTGTGGTGTGTAACTGTACAACAGTGTGTGTGGTGTGTAATGTTACAGCTACAAGAGGACTGTACAACAGTGTGTGTGGTGTGTAATGTTACAGCTACAAGAGGACTGTACAACAGTATGTGTGGTGTGTAATGTTACAGCTACAAGAGGACTGTACAGCAGTATGTGTGGTGTTTAATGTTACAGCTACATGAGGACTGTACAACAGTGTGTGTGGTGTGTAATGATACAGCTACAAGAGGACAGTACAACAGTATGTGTGGTGTTTAATGTTACAGCTACAAGAGGACTGTACAACAATGTGTGTGGTGTGTAATGATACAGCTACAAGAGGACAGTACAACAGTATGTGTGGTATGTAATGTTACAGGTACAAGAGGACTGTACAGCAGTATGTGTGGTGTATAATGTTACAGCTACAAGAGGACTGTACAGCAGTATGTGTGGTGTGTAATATCACAGCTACAAGAGGACTGTACAACAGTATGTGTGGTGTGTAATGTTACAGCTACAAGAGGACTGTACAGCAGTATGTGTGGTGTGTAATGTTACAGCTACAAGAGGACTGTACAACAGTATGTGTGGTGTGTAACATTACAGCTACAAGAGGACTGTACAGCAGTATGTGTGGTGTGTAATGTTACAGCTACAAGAGGACAGTACAACAGTGTGTGTAGTGTGTAATGTTACAGCTACAAGAGGACTGTACAACAGTATGTGTGGTGTGTAATGTTACAGCTACAAGAGGACTGTACAACAGTGTGTGTGGTGTGTAATGTTACAGCTACAAGAGGACTGTACAACAGTATGTGTGGTGTGTAATGTTACAGCTACAAGAGGACTGTACAGCAGTATGTGTGGTGTTTAATGTTACAGCTATAAGAGGACTGTACAACAGTGTGTGTGGTGTGTAATGATACAGCTACAAGAGGACAGTACAACAGTATGTGTGGTGTGTAATGTTACAGGTACAAGAGGACTGTACAACAGTATGTGTGGTGTGTAATGTTACAGCTACAAGAGGACTGTACAACAGTACGTGTGGTGTGTAATGTTACAGCTACAAGAGGACTGTACAGCAGTATGTGTGGTGTGTAATGTTACAGCTACAAGAGGACTGTACAACAGTATGTGTGGTGTGTAATGTTACAGCTACAAGAGGACTGTACAGCAGTATGTGTGGTGTTTAATGTTACAGCTACAAGAGGACTGTACAACAGTGTGTGTGGTGTGTAATGATACAGCTACAAGAGGACAGTACAACAGTATGTGTGGTATGTAATGTTACAGGTACAAGAGGACTGTACAGCAGTATGTGTGGTGTATAATGTTACAGCTACAAGAGGACTGTACAGCAGTATGTGTGGTGTGTAATATCACAGCTACAAGAGGACTGTACAACAGTATGTGTGGTGTGTAACATTACAGCTACAAGAGGACTGTACAGCAGTATGTGTGGTGTGTAATGTTACAGCTACAAGAGGACAGTACAACAGTGTGTGTAGTGTGTAATGTTACAGCTACAACAGGACAGTACAACAGTATGTGTGGTGTGTAATGTTACAGCTACAAGAGGACTGTACAGCAGTATGTGTGGTGTGTAATGTTACAGCTACAAGAGGACTGTACAGCAGTATGTGTGGTGTGTAATGTTACAGCTACAAGAGGACAGAACAACAGTGTGTGTGGTGTGTAATGTTACAGCTACAAGAGGACAGTACAACAGTGTGTGTAGTGTGTAATGTTACAGGTACAAGAGGACTGTACAGCAGTATGTGTGGTGTGTAATGTTACAGCTACAAGAGGACTGTACAACAGTATGTGTGGTGTGTAATGTTACAGCTACAAGAGGACTGTACAACAGTGTGTGTGGTGTGTAATGTTACAGCTACAAGAGGACTGTACAACAGTGTGTGTGGTGTGTAATGTTACAGGTACAAGAGGACTGTACAGCAGTATGTGTGGTGTGTAATGTTACAGCTACAAGAGGACTGTACAGCAGTATGTGTGGTGTGTAATGTTACAGCTACAGGAGGACTGTACAACAGTGTGTGTGGTGTGTAATGTTACAGCTACAAGAGGACAGTACAACAGTGTGTGTAGTGTGTAATGTTACAGGTACAAGAGGACTGTACAGCAGTATGTGTGGTGTGTAATGTTACAGCTACAAGAGGACTGTACAACAGTATGTGTGGTGTGTAATGTTACAGCTACAAGAGGACTGTACAACAGTATGTGTGGTGTGTAATGTTACAGCTACAAGAGGACAGTACAACAGTGTGTGTAGTGTGTAATGTTACAGCTACAAGAGGACTGTACAGCAGTATGTGTGGTGTGTAATGTTACAGCTACAAGAGGACTGTACAGCAGTATGTGTGGTGTTTAATGTTACAGCTACAAGAGGACTGTTCAACAGTATGTGTGGTGTGTAATGTTAGAGCTACAAGAGGACTGTACAACCTGTATTTTCCTAGTCTGTTCAGCTGAAACTGTTCAAACGTTATTGGTTCCTTTCTCTGTTTTATGGCCACGCCCACACAAGTAGCTCCAGCCTCCGACACACATTTCATGAGTTCATCTTTTTGTTCCAGTGCAAATAGATGCTGAAATAAAGAGCAACAGCTGGTATGAAATGTCATACACTTTTTATATATACAAGAATAATGTGCTGCGGAACACTGAAGATTATCTAAGGACCAATCAAAAGATAAAAAAAAACATTCTACTATGACATTTAGATGTTGATTCAACTGTACATGATGTCTCAGATGAGCACATGACACTGTTGTAAACAGATTTGAATGTCATGTAAATATAATTGATACCTTACAAAACATACGAGGTTAATTTCATGTAGAATCAATTATTTAATACTTATCATGTCTCAAACTGAGCATTTTCTTTAAAGAAGCAGTAGAAACTTTGTTCAGAAACATAATATAAGTGGAACTGGTGTAACCGTAGTAGTACCGGTACCCACACCAAGTTCAACAAATCTATTAATGGGTGCAACTACAATAGGCACCTGCACTGATGACTATGATGATTCTTGAGAATAACCATGTACACAATAATAATGCATGACTGGTGATCAAGACTTCAATGTAGATTCAACAGTGCTGTCATCTGCAGTGGAAACATAACAACATCTTAGATCTGCTCATCAAGAGAACAATGTTAGCAGTGTTGACAGTGGAATAAACAAAGGCTTCCAATTACCATGGAGATTTTCATATTCATGAATTGATGAGATGAAATGTCACTGATTAACAAAGCACTGGTGATACAAGGATAGGACAGTTGACAGCGAGGGAGACAGTGGCTTTGAGATTTGGAAAAACGAACGGGCCAGTGAAATTAATAATGACAAGACTTGCAAGTTAATGTTGTTCCAGGAGTGAGTGAGTGAGTTTAGTTTTACGCCGCTCTCAGCAATATTCCAGCTATATGGCGGCTGTCTGTAAATAAATGAGTCTGGACCAGAGAATCCAGTGATCAACATCATGAGCATCGATCTGCCCAATTGGGAACCGATGACATGTGTCAACCAAGTTGTTCCAGGATGAGTACTAGAGGTATCTGTGGTGGAATGGAGGTATGAGCACTTGTATATAAGTATTTTCTATCTATACACACAAGAAATACTTCTGCAGGATCGCGTTGACTGAATATGAGGAAGAACATGGAGTTGAAGATCAACATGCAAACTTGATGAGCTGTTTTTCATACTGAGTGACAAGCAGCATTAGGGAGGGCCGATTACCCTCAGGTAGGCCATGATCTATATGTTGTCCAGCATGGTCACATTGATCCAGAACTGCTACTGGGGTTTGTGCCACATGACCAACTTGGGGTTGAAGGTCCATGTCATTCAACACAAGAGAGTGAGATTTCTATCTGTAAAAGCTGCATCAAGTCATCAACTGTTATATATTGTGTAGTCAAAGTCCTATGAACTTTAATGTATCCCTGACTCCACAATAATGTGCACATATTTTTAGCATCTTTAACATACGCCGAATAAGGAACAAAAGGTGTTGTAGTAGCTGAAGGGGCAGTGTTGAAGCAAGCCATGTTTAACACTACTTCAGGTGATGGAGACCAATATGTAACACCTAGTTCACTGACATTGAGAGGGAGTCCTACAAAGGACATATCCAAGGATGATGCCTGGAACCAATTACAGGCTCCAGTGGTAGCTTTGAAGGAGCTACATCATCACCTACCATGTCAAACATCAACAGCGAAGGGCCAAAGTTATGAGGGAGAATCAAGAAACAGCTAAGATACCATTCAAATATAAAACACTGTACCATGAAGATTCAGGTCTGAAATGACCTTCAGTAACCTATACTTGAGACAGCTGATGAGGTTTGGTGATTGACGTAAGTCATCACATCCCGCCTAGATAGATACATGGTCATTATGTCAATCTATAGTCCCCACATTGCAAAGCTGATCCTCCATGTTGGGGCAGTAGTGCTTTCCAAAATGAGAGAGAGGAGGAAGAATGATTGCAGGGCATCTGCTCCAAGGGAGATGTAAAATGCCCATGCAGGGTTTTGGCACAAAGCACAAGTGACAATGAAACTTGAACATATCAACAAGTCCAAAGATTTGTGTTGTCTTCCTACTTTTCTTCTACTAAATTCCATCTGCCTCTCCAGAGTTCCATAAATCCAGACAGTTCATTCCCCACTGATATAGAATATAGGCCAAAACTGTAGAGTTGTCCATGGCAACAAGGATGAATGAATTCCTGAGATGCAGAGACAAGAGCTGAATTGCGAGGATAACAGTCTCAAGAATTATTTATGTGCACTGGAAAATCAAACATTCTGAAGAGGTCATGTCCTCCAGTTTTACACCACATCATCAGCATTCGAAATAATTGCCAGCCCAGAGGCCCAGCACTGGTTGTTATTGTATTGGGCCTGCAGTTTCAAATATTTGCAGGCCCTTATGGGCTTTATTAAATTATCTGTCATTTTCTTTTTCAACTGGAATCTTTCTCATATTTTTTTGGTTTTTATTAATGTTTGGGAATCATCCATGATTCATCATCCTACGATAACTTACAGTTCCACTTCCTGGTATTTCAGGAATGCGCATAGGAAAGGCAACACTAGTCTTTAACAAATACAAACTTCTCTCTGAGCCATAGGCTTCACTAATTGATTTTGTAGAAACAGTGTGAAACTGTGTACAGTGTAGTGTATTTTGTTGTAATTGGTCTGCCTTTAACAAAATGGGCCTGCAGATTTCTTTTAGGGCCTGTAGACTTTAAAGCCTGCAGGGGGCAGCAGGCCCTGATGGTCAACTGGCAAATCAAAGTATTGCAAATACTTCACATCATGTGAGAGATGTGTCTGAAAAGAGGTGACAATCTGGTTGAGGCATCCCCTGGTCTTTGAACACTAGCTCTGTGTGTGTGATGAAAGAGTCCATCTGTGCCCACTGATGGTGGTTGATCCACTCCTGTGTAACAGGAGCATCCTGTTTCGGGTCCTCAGGTCCGCAGGATTCAGGGGTTTAACGTCACAATTACAACAAAACACAAGATTTTGTAAACAAAATCAATTTATTTCAAACTCAACAAATATATCATAGAATCAACAATCAACAAAGTTAAATAAAGAACAAAAACAGTAATGCCGCCAAAGATCCTAAGAAAAGTGAAAACCCTATTAGAAATACCCATACTATTACCCCTAATCTTAATCCAAACTTAATTCCCCAAAATAATTTTGCCTGCAAACCAAAAAATGTAATTTTCTGAATAAAATTGATATTTAATACTTATCCTGACTCATGCTCTTTTGCTTGTCTCCTTCCTCTTGTGAACGTTAGTGGAACACTTGTATCTCCTATTGAAGCTCCCTTCAATAAAAACAGACGTAAAATCCCTACTCACCACGAGTTATCTGTGTGGCCATTTTGGTGGGAAAGCGGCGCCACCATACTCCCATGCTTCACTCTCTCCGAATTATGAGCCCGACACTTTAATTTACAGGGAAATCCAAAGTGTCTAGTGGGGAGGTTGGGAGGGTTTACCTCATGAGTCAGGATAAGTATAAAATATCAATTTTATTCTGAAAATTACATATTTTTCTTTATCCTGACTCATGCTCTTTTGCTTGTAGAATCCTACGGATTTGGTGGTGGGTCAAGCTACTTCTGGATTTCATGTAGTGATTTACGTCTTGCATACCCCCCTATGGGAACTTCCTGGTAGCACTTCTTTTACTGCTAGGCTCTGCTGCTGCTGCTGTAAGCCTTCACTTCCAGCTTTCTCTGATGGGGGGACCACAATTGTTAACTTTTGGTCCTTGCTTCTGTTAACATTTCATGTGGATTTTGCAACTCCATCTCTTGATGCGAGCATCAAGTGGAGAAGCGACCCTTTCCTGTACGAGTATGTCCTTACAAGTACTGGGTCATATCACTTATGCTAGTCTGTCCTAGACTTGCATATAGACTCTAAAGCTGAACTCTCCTGAGTGTAGGCTTTTGCAAGTCATGTGATAAAAGGGCGAGACTCCGTCTCAGCGCCTTTGTGGGACTGTAAATTGTTGTGCTACAACAAGTGGGCCGAAATGGTGAATGCCAGAGCCGTCCTCGGTGGCGATGTCCCTCAGGTAGTGGTAGGCAAACACCATGTCCCATTTCCAGAAGCAGCCCTCAATATTCGTACTGATAGAGCTATTCCCATGTAGAGCAAGCGTTGACGCCAGAGCTCTAACTTCATGTGGGTTGGAGGCTCTTGGAGGATCAAGTCCTGCTGCTTTGTAGGCCCATAGTATGACAGTTCTGATCCAGCTTGATATCTTAGTGCGGAAGACCTCCGTCTGTGTTGCTGTCGACATCGAGACGAAAAGACACTTGAATTTCGGTCTCCTGGACCTGGATCTTTGTAGGTAGACTTTCAATGCTCTCACTGGGCATAAGGATAGGTCCTGCGTATCCTGTGGTCCAAGGACTGATGATAGTGTTGGGACGTGGAACTGTCTGGCTGGATGACCTGGCAGTTGATTCTTTGCTATGAATTCCCATCTCAGTCCCATATGCACGATGTTTTGATTTTCATCAAATCGTGTTCTCTCGAAGTCCAGAGCATGTATTTCCGACATCCTTGCTGCTGTTGCTAAGGTTATCAGGAACAGCGTCTTCTGCGTCAAGAACTCGAATGATGTTCTCTATAATGGTTCGTAGATGTCACTAGTGAGATGTCGTAGAACTACGTTGAGGTCCCACACCGGAGCTTTAAATCTCTGTTGTTGGTCCTCCAATTAAAAGGGCGTAGTAAGGCCAGTAACTCTGGTACTTTTGTCAGTTGCACTCGTCCTCATGGCGATAACCGACCTCAATGCCGCTAGGTATGTTGAGAGTGTTGACCCTTTTAACCGCTTCGTTTGTCTAGGTGACAAAGGTAGTCCGCCACTTGAGGATGTGTCGCTTTCATGGCTGTGAAGCCGGTCCTCGAAGCGTATGTCTCGAAGTGTCGCCACTTGTCGTCAGACAAGTTGCGTGTAGACTTGCGTAAAGCTAGTGTGAGTGCTGTCGCTGCTCTGGCGGAAAATCCTCACTTGTTCAAGCATGCCTT